TTTTTGTGAATTGCACAAAACTTCATATAATAAAAATATTAATTTGCTTATAATTATGGATATTTTATATAATGAATTTAATACATACAAAAGTTTTTCAATTAGACCATAACCTTTTAAAGTTATGAAGTAGAAAATCGCAAATAAATAAATAATGTAATCTTTATCATTTTTGCAAGATTTGAAAACATCACTTTCAGATAGTTTATATCACTCACGAGTCTTGCGTCATGAATTGCATCTTGCGTCATGAATTGCGTCTTGCATCATGAATTGTGTCTTGCATCATGAATTGCGTCTTGCATCATGAATTGCGTCTTGCATCATGAATTGCGTCTTGCATCATGAATTGCGTCTGCGTCTTGCGTCTGCGTCAATGCATCTCACACTAAACTAATTGTGTCACATGACTTTTAATTTTGATGACATGTATACTTCAATCCAGGCAGAACTAAGAAGCTCAAGGAGTTGATTTATTCTCCAGGGTTTGGGTTTTGCTGTAAAATTTTAAATAAACCTATTATAAAACAAAAATACATGATCCTGAGCCTAGAATGTCTTACAATATACTTAATATACTTACATTGATCACTAAAGCTTGAAATATAGCTCCTATGTAACCCTTCAAAAGCAACTTGATCATTTGATCATTTTTCACACACATACCAAGAACATAGAAAGCAAAACATACACATTAAAAAAATACATCTCGGGTTAAACAAATTTTTGTGTATTGGTCACGTGACTTTTTCTATTCTAAATTCAATTGAAGTCACATGTTTCACAACATAAAAAAGATCAATGATCGATTTTGTCACATGTGATAAAACGATTGTCCACTATGCTATCAAAATTAGATTTTATGTGATAATTGGAAATAAGATTGTCAAAAATCTGGCCAATGAAATAGTTGTTTTGTGATCTGCAACAGTGTTCACTATGCTCGTTATCACGTGTTTATCTAATGTAAAGTCACGTGGCATAAATTATAAATGAACACATGTCACAATCATTTGTGATATTGACTTTCTTGAGTTACCACTCACATTTTTAGAATAATTTTTATAATTATAAAGTGTTAAATTTATTCACATAGATATTGTCATCATCACATTACTAGCAAGAAAAAAGTTACTTTAAACAATGAACAACGCCATCAAATTTGTTTAAAAAAGCAAAATGTTCCAAAAATCACTAAAAAAAATTAACTGCTTGATGTGAACAAGAACTTGGTGCAAAGTTTGATCAAGCAACTATCTCTTGAACATTAAAACATTCATCTGAGTATTTAAACAATGAAGCAAACCCACAGCAAAAAAAAAACACAGTGCATCAGGAAATTTTTCTGATGTAGATTTACGTAATTATTACACTATTTATGTAAGTTTACGGCGGGCCCATAATATTATGCAAATAAGCATACAAAAATTATGCAATTATTACATCGAGTGTAAATATTACATAATTTTTATGCAAATATTACAACTTTACATATTAAAATTTACGGACATAATATTGCAGCAGGAAAATTTCCTGATGCTGTGAAGTATCCTGAACTTGAACATGCACTCCAAGAATGGTGTTTGCATTCACAAGGTCACATTCCTTTAACAGACCTAATCTTAATTGAAAAGCTAAAACACTTGCAAAAATGCTTAATATACCTGATGATACATTGTCATTTTCCACTGGGTGGCTTCAAAGCCTTAAGAATAGGTATGTTTCTGTATTATATTGAACTAAGATTATTAACCTTATCAATAACAAATTATCACACTTGTAGAAACAATTTGAAAAGATACCAATTACATGGAGGAAGTGGTTCAGCTGATATTAGTGCAATTGAAAATGCCCTTCCTGATCTGAAAACAGTCATCAGCACCATTAAATCTGAAGATGTATATAACATGGATGAAACTGGGTTGTTCTTTCAGCAAGTAGAATATTAAACTATACATACTTAAAATATTAATAAATTCTAATGAAATTTAATGACCATAGACTTGAACCTGATAAAACTTTAGCAACCAAACAACTTGAGGGTAAAAAAAAGATAAACAATGTTTGACTGTTGTACTTTGCTGTAATGCTGATGGAACTGATAAACTAGAACCACTTATTATTATAACCCCAATGTATAGGAAAAATCAATACGAATAGTCTTGGAGTTGTCTATAGAGCAAATGGTAAAGCATGGATGACAGCAGTTTTGTTTCAAGAGTAGTATGCAAGTATATTCACAATTGATAGTTTGCTTTATGAATTACTATTTATAAAGTGATTTAACTGTAGATGGTTAAAACAATTTGATGAAAGAATGAATGGTAGAAGAGTGTTATTGCTACTTGACAATGCACCCTGTCATATAGTTAGAGGAATGGAATTGCAAAATACACAGGTTAAGCTCTTACCACCTAATTGCACATCAAGGCTTCAACCTTGTGATGCTGGAATCATTGCCTCTTTCAAAAACATTATCTTCATAAATTTGTTCATTATCTTCTTAAAAAGTTTGAGGACAATCCACATGATACCTCTAAACTTAATGTTTTAGAGGCTATAAAATTCATTAACAGTCAATACCATTGTTAATTGTTGGAGACATACAGGTATTATTGATTTTAGTAATGAAGAAGAAATAGAGCAAGAAAGTGAGAATGAATTAGTTGCTGTCATAGAGAGGGGTGTTGCGGCCTTAAGGTAAGTATTTAAAATATGGTTTTTTATTATTCTTGATGTTAATGCTATTATTATTTTATAGATATAGAAATCCTATTACAACAGAAAATTTTTTAAACCCTGTTAAAGAAAGTGAAACAGAAGAGCCTTTAGATGATGTGTCAATTATTTGTTTAGTTCAGGAGGAAAACAATGATGAAAATCAGAATGAGGAAGAAGATAGTGATGAAGAAAGTGGGTTACCTGCTATTCCTATTAATGAAGGATTAGAAGCTTTAGAAAAAGTTATGACTTGCTTGTTGCAGCAACATAAAGACTGTCCAGATGAGATTAAAAAATTAACTAGTGTAAAAATACAATGAAAAAAATTTATAATGATTCCTTGGAACAAAGTACTCTAGATTATTTTTTTGAAAATAATTTATAAAATAAAAATTAACTTACATATATACGTTTGTGGGATATAGTAGAATCAGAACTGTTTTTGATGCATATGCACGTTCACGTTATGCAAACAGCTCATAGGTCCTAATATGGGACCAGGCTATCTTATTCAAATAGACAGGTACGACTGTATTAACATAATATTAATTCGTCTATTATGAAGTAGGACAATAACTAAATAATTTATATTAAATAATTTTAATTTTAATTTAAAATACATATTTTAATTTTTTCTTTTGTTGATTTTTTTTTTTAGTTAAAAAAATTTTTTGTACGGTCGCGGATATTTCTTGTATTGGTATTAGTATTAATATATTAATATTAGTATCCATCGATCAATCGTGAGGTGAAGTTGATATCTATTATTATTATAGTATTATTAATAATTACTATTTTCAAAAATCTTATAGTGGACTGATCTAGAGTCATTTGGCCTACTGAATCTTTAAAACGAAACATCTGAAAATAAAAAGATTATTTCATCAATTATTTTGTATATTTAATCAATCATAATCATTTATTAGATGAAGAACTAAGTAGGATTCATAATAATAATACATTTTATAATGGGCCTCTTTTGGTATTAATGAATTTTTATTTATCAGGCCAAATATTATTCAAAATTACCATTTGTTCATATAAGTAATAATAATCGCATTACAACAATTTAAAAAAAGTGACAATAATAAAATTGTTTAATAAAAAGATAGAACGAACAATAAATCACCGAATTCCAAGCAATCAAAAATGAAATTTTCTTTTATTAAATTTTTACGCGATTAAAAAAACCTTTAAAAATGTCTCGACAACAATCATCATCATCCATTAAAAAACGTGTATCGATCATCAGTACCATGGAATCAAATTATATACTCAAATCAGTTCAAATCAAATTGAATCTAGTCGGTTCGAATTTCATTGATTCATTCAGAGCTTTAGTGATACTATTGCTTTACAATGGTTGAAATTTGTAAAACTTCAGATTCCTAAAAAGAGGTTTTTTTTTCCAATAGAGAATTCAAAAAAAAAATCGGTGAATGATTATCGCTTCTAAAAACTCTAAACAAAAAAAAAGGATAACGCAAGCGTGGTTACCGATTCGTTGAAAGAAGGTTTGACTGTATTAGCATTAGTATATATTAATGTTAATATTAATATTAATATCGTATTTTAGTATACTAATTATAATACTTTTTATTATTCGATAATGGATATTTTTTCTGTATGTCACTCCTAAAATCACAGAACTGTAATATCAATCACGTTAGATAGGTATACGGTGGCATTTTGCAAATTTCGTCACTTTAATTGTCGTTTTGCCCACATTATAATTAAATTAGACTTTTTTTAGGAAGTTGTTGGTGATCAAACCTATGTAATATAAATTGTGTACTTTAGATTATTTGTTTGGCAAAAATGAATCGTAAAATTTTGATGATCATGCATGCACTAAAAAAAAAATAGCTTTGATAATTTTCTTATTATTATTAAATATTAACAACAACAATAATAAATATGTCGTCAAATCCTATCGATTATAACAAAATCAAGGAAACGTCCATTAATCATCCTAAACCTCAGAATATAAATTACACTTATGGAACAGCAGGTTTTCGAATGAAGTAAAAATGTTTATTATGACTTTTAGTTTTTCCTTTTAATTATCATCATCGTTATAAATAAAATATTAAGATTATCGTGTAATTTTTTTTTTTTTACATATTAAAGAGCTGAATTACTCGATTCAACTGTTTTTCGTGTGGGAATTTTAGCAGCTTTACGTTCAAAAAAACTTGATTCAAAAACTATCGGCATTATGATTACTGCTTCTCATAACCCTGAACAAGTATGACATATAACTAAGTTGTATATTAATTAATTTCAACTTTAAAAAAACATTAAATTTATTTTAAAAAGGATAATGGTGTTAAACTTGTTGACCCTTATGGTGAAATGTTGGAACAATCATGGGAAAGTTATGCTACTAAATTAGCCAATGCTCAAAACGAAGATGATTTGGTTAATGCGATCAAAGAAATAATTGAAAAAAATCAGATCGATGATTCAAAAAAAGCAAGTGTCGTATATGCAAGAGATACAAGGTTAACATATATTTATTTATTTATAAAATATTTATGAAATTGCTTCACAAAATTAAAAATTTACTTATTGTTTAGACCAAGTGGTTTGGCATTAGTGGCAACTCTTGAAGATGGTTTGAAGGCAATTGGTGCAGAGATCGTTGATTTTGGGATTAAAACTACGCCACAACTTCATTATGTAACACGTTGCTTGAACACATTGGGAACAGATAATGAATATGGTGAACCAAACGAAGATGGTTATTGTAAAAAACTAGCCAATGCTTTTCGTAAAATTGTTGTAAGTTAACGTTTTAATTGATCTGTCAACATTTCAATTTTCAATTAATAACGTTTGAAGGGTTTATTTCTTAATTACTATTTCATTATTGTTATCTTAGAAAGATAAACCACGTCCCTCTACCATTTATGTAGATTCAGCAAATGGTGTTGGAGGACCAAAGCTTCGAGATCTTGAAAAATACATTGGTGCTGATATTTTAAACGTTTCAATAAAAAATGATGATGTTGAAACAAAAGGAAAATTAAATTATCAGGTAAATAAATATAAATAGAATAAAAATAATTGCACTTCTGGGATTTTCATGATGGATTAACAAAAGTATTTTACCTTCATTCTTCTACCCTCCACTTTACCCAATTAAGTGCGGGGCCGATTTTGTGAAATCTGGACAAAGGGTTCCTTTAGGATTTGATCTTGTAAGTGGTCAACGTGCTGCGTCACTGGATGGTGATGCAGATCGTATAGTATTTTATTATATTGATGAAGGTATATATATATTAACATAATCTTTAAGGAATTTTAAAATTATTCTTAATAATGATGATGATAATAATACAATTACTAGATAATACTTTTCGATTACTGGACGGTGATAAGATTGCAGGTTTGGCTGCAGGTTTTATTATGGAACTTGTAAAAACTGCAGGACTTCAAGGGATTAATGTTGGAGTAGTCCAGACTGCATATGCGAATGGTAACTCCACTGTATACTTAAAGAAAGAGTTGGCATGTATTACTTTTATGTATAATAAATATTCGTTTATCATTTATTTTAACCCGCCAACTTAATTTTTTAATTAGAAAGTTCCAGTTTCATGCGTACCAACGGGTGTAAAATATTTACATCATGAAGCTGAAAAATATGATTGTGGTGTTTATTTTGAAGCTAATGGTCATGGAACAGTATTGTTTAGTTCTAAAGCAATGAATATTATTAAATCTTCTAAAGGGTATTTTTAGCATTAGATTATTTATTGGCTAATGAACGACCATAAGATTTAATTAAATCATTTTTTAAATTTAGAGAAACTGCAGAACAAAACGAAGCAATTGAAAAATTAAAGGCCCTTACAGATTTAATTAATCAAACTGTTGGTGATGCATTATCCGATTTATTATTGGTTGAAGCTATTCTGACTAATCGTCAATGGTCTTTAAAACAGTGGGATCAAGCATACACTGATTTACCTAATCGATTGATTAAAGTTGTGGTATGATTACATGTTTTAAAATAAATTATTTAACAAATTCAAATAATTTATAATAATGGTTTATTTAGGTTTCTGATCGTAATATATTTAAAACAACTGATTCGGAACGTAAACTTGTTGAACCAGACGGTTTACAAAATTTGATTGATCAACTTGTTTCTCAATATAATCAAGGACGCTCATTTGTTAGGTATTATTGTTTATCAAATCAATATTTATTAATTAAAAAAAAAATGATGGTAACAATAATTTTCTTTTAAAATTTAGACCATCAGGGACAGAAGATGTGGTGCGAGTTTATGCTGAAGCTGCCACTAAAGAAGAATGTGACGAATTAGCTTATAAAGTTGCTGGTGTTGTTTATGATAAAGCTGGCGGGATTGGTGGACGCCCGAAAGAATTTTTGTAAATTAATTATTCTAAAAAATTTCTTAATTTAATTTATTTATTTATGTAATAATCAATAAATTTAGAAAATTTTTTTATACTATTATAGCCAAATCAATATATGACATTAATTAATTTTGATTTTCTTAAAACGTTGCACACCCCCCAATGTTTTGAGCAAATTTGAGTAAATCCTTAAAAAGTTTTATATATTAATATACATATACAAACTTGATCATGGTACGTATGAACTTAAAAATTTTTTTACAAGTCACTTAGTCCCGCAACTTTTTATTGGTCGTGTATATCCTTAAAATCCTCCAAAAAATGGAAATGCAACACCCCAAAATAAATCGTGTTTTTTGAAGCCAAGACCAGTGTTGAAAATTCGGTGCGGGGAATGCGGGGGTGTAACATTACACACCAATCAACCTTTTAATTTTTGGAGATAGTTTCTAAATTTGTACTGGTTACACAACGAAATTTCAACACTGGCCAAGACAAATACCTATATATGTCATGGATTTGAGCTTCAAAGGTTGCACAAGTTTACCAAATTTATTATGCTACTAAAATTGACGTGTTACACAAAAACATGACGAATTGAATATAAGTTTCAGATCTTTTGTCACATGAATTTTCCAGATGGATGGAAAGAGAATTTTATTATTCTTTATATATATAAAAAAAATACAACAAACAGCTAAATTCATTTATTTAAAATTTAATAAATAGACTATTGCATTGATCAAAGAAATGCGCAAAACATATCCGACCACTTGCGCTGTGTAACGTCAAGTACTTACTAAATAAAGTACGTTTTCTTAAATAAACCCTTTTCTACTATACTAAGTAAACTCATATTTGATATCAAAAATCTATATTACAAAAATTTCGAACAGTTCAGTATGGTATTAATGGAAATATTTAGCAAATCATCCAAAAAAAGCAAATTTCCGATTGAATTTTTACATGTAATAAAAGGTCAAATTTTTTTGTTGTAATGTATATTATTACCTTAATAAAACGTGCTTAACGTAACAGATTGCATATATTTACAATACAGTGTCAGCATAAATTAGTTTGTGAAAATGGTTTAAAAAGTATCTGACCATCCCGTAATTTTGTCATATAAAGCAATTAATAAAGTTGACAAAATGCAAATTTTAAGGCTTTACGTTTTGTTGTCTATACTTGATCAAATTTTCTCAAATTTTAACCATATATCATTCAAGTTATTTTAAGTGGACTTACTTAATGTCATAATCCATAATTTAACAGAGTTTTGAACCTTTTTACTAAGCTCAAAGTTTTCATAAAAATCACGAAATTTTTTGCCTAATTTAAAGTTTTCATCCGAAATTCATTAATAATGCAAACTCGACAAAACCTTAAGTTTATATTAAATTGACTTTAAAAACACGTTTACTTAATGCACCAGTCCCGGTTTAATTAATAAAGTTTTGAACTGCGTGAGGTACAAGTTTCCCAATTATTAAAATGATCGTCAGGTGGTCGGATATTTATGGTAGGTGAGTTGTATTATATAGTATATATTAATATTAATATATTATTATTGCCGATTTTACTATTTATGAAATGACCAGGAAATACGACCAAACAATTTTTATTGCATTTTTGATTGGGAAATCTAGAAACACCTTAATCCACACAGCTAAAAATGTTAAAGAATAGATATCTGAGAAAAAGTTAAAAATTCCAGAAGATTGGTTTTCTCAATCTCCAGATCTTAATCCAATTGAACATCTGTGGAATTAACTTGGCAGAAATGTTTTGAACACCCAAAAAATAAAGATGAATTGTAACTTTTTTGAGAGGAATGGCAATAAACTCCTTGTGAAGAATACTTAAATTTAATTGACAGTATGGTTGAAGGTTTCATTGCTTAACAATGGTTGGCCAACTACATATTAAATAATTTTTTTTTTTTGAAATAAAAAATAAGCTTTTTATCTATTGACATTTCATTATTTTTACATTGTTTTTTATTTTTATTTTTTATCCTTTTTCATGACAAAACTTTAAAATTTCATATCATGAACATATTCTAAGAACAAGAGCTTTTGAATGATATAAAGGTTAAAAATGTTTTAATTAGTATATTTTTGAAATAAATTCAAAAGAAAATTTGAATGCAAACTTTTGTCCACCAAATGTACAAGTGCCCATACTTTTGCTAGAGTTGTTATTTGAGAACATTTAAACATTTTAACTGTCAAAATATATTTGACAAGGTCACTTGATTTGTTCTCAACAAAAAATACAAATATTTTTATATGCCATTTTTAAAGTATAATACAATTATTCAATTTGAGATCCACATTTATAACATGAAAGTCAAAATGGTCAAAATTGATTTTGGCCATTTCGACTTTGTCAC